CACCTGAACGGCCCACGTTAACCTACTCAAAACTGCCCGTTTTGAGTATAAACCAATACTCGATCGAGTATCTACCCATAATCGGTCGAGTACAGGAGGCAGTAGCCCACATAATTGATTTTCAATGTATACTCGATCGAGTATCTACCCATACTCGATCGGTTATAGGAGGCAGTAGCCTCCTGGGCAATTTTTCAACAAATACCCGGTCGGGTATGTGTCAATACTCGGTCGGGTATGGCAGTTGACTTGGCGGTCAACGCCCGTTTGACCAACCAAACGGAGTCCGATTAACGCGAAATTTTATACACATATACTTCTTGATATCCTTGATCCAAAAATACCATTTTGGATCCCTGGAACATCACACATAAAAAGTTATCACATTTTTTATCACCAAACCTACATAACATGCTTTTCAACTATGTTTTATGTATAATCATGGCATAAGCAAACACTTGGTTATCTTTAATCATTCCACAAAACATATCCTTGATTACTTTAGGTAATCTCATGCCTCACACAAAAGTTATAAAGCATAAAGCCGTCTTCTCACCTTAATGAGGCTTATGAAGTTCTAGCCTTCCCGATTTAGCTCCGGCGAAACTCTGGCGAACTTCAACGAACTCCAGCGACAACTCCGGCGACCCTTTCAACTCCGTGAAAGTTCCTTGAATACCTTAGACAAGTTACTAACAAGGTTTTATCATCATAAAACCCATAGTAATACAAATAATCTCAAAAAGGTTATTTTCCGGTGAACCGGTCACTTTGGCTTCTAAGTCCGTTCTTAGACTTAGAACTACCTTCCAACCCCTCATTCTACACTTCCAAGCATGTAGAACAATACTAGGGTGTGAAATATGATTGAATAATCATATAAGATGATTGAAGAAGAAGGAATGAGATTAATGTAGTAATTACCTTGTCAAACACAAGTTTTCCTCTCCAAAGTCAACTTTTCTCTTCTCTATTCCCCTCCTTCTTCCTCCTTAGCTCCAGTTCATGAATGGTGGATGTTGTGAGGTGTTTTCAGAGCTTCTATCTCAAGGATGGTTGGGTTGGACGAGCTGGAGGGTTAGGTTGATGATTGAGAATGCCTTTTTGACATTTCTCCAAAATAATGTCAAAGGTGAGGTCCACCTTCCCATTGATTGGTCTTCCAATCAATTCCTCATTGCTCCTCCAGGTTATGTGCGGCTCCCCTTGACATTTGCAGCACCAAATTCGTGGGGTTGCCCCCACTCATGTGGGAGGTCATCCCTTTATGTCCCCAAGTGTACACTCGGCCCCGAAAGTTGTATTTTCCGGACTGCTTTAATTATATTTTATTTTATCGGGTCAAATAAAATATAACACTCATTCACAATCCTTATTGGACCTTAGAATAAATATGCATTCCCCAACTTTAATTTAGAAGTCTCCGAAATCCCTTTTTGGGTTGTTATCTGATAAATTTCCGATACCGATAATTTGGCCCCGTTTGACCAACCGGTCAGCTCTATGCCATTGCCATAACCCAATTAGGATATCCACCACCATATTCATATTATCTAGTCCAAGATTAATATAATATGTGGTCCCGATAATATCGGGCGGCCCCACATCCGGTGTGGGCCCCACGTGAATTTTACTATTCACGTAAAAGAAATGATAAAAATTTACAATCACGTAAAAATGCTTTTATACATTTCTCAGGATTCAATACATGATTTGATAAAGTACAAATACTTGGGGGCGGTGTTACAATCATGGCATAAGGGCATCCCCATTCATAAGATTATTTGAGGATTAAGTTGCTGATGTGGCGGATTATTCTGGGGATCATGATTGAGTGATGAAGATTATTTAGTGAGATTATTTGACAAAATAATCCGGGATTGAAATATGAATCCAGATTATCTCAAGATTATTGTGAAGGTAGTATTAAATTATTAATTACTGAGTGCAGGACCCACAAAAGATCCGGTTATTTTGAGATGATGAATGATATAATTTTGAAGGTATGAGATTATTTTGAATAAATCTACTTGTCAATCTACGTGTCATTAAAAATCCGTTTATTCAAGTATCATCAATGTGGATGCTCTAACAAATACTCGATTGTCTTTAATCATTCCATAAAACATATTCTTGATTACTTTAGTTAATCTCATGCCTCACGCAAAAGTTATAAAGAACAAAGCCGTCTTCTCACCTTAGTGACTTCTTTAAGAAGTTATACCCTCCTGGTTGAACTCCGGTGAACTTTGTCTAGCTCCGGCGATTATTCCGGCAACTGTTTCAACTCTTTGAAAGCTCTAGGATTACCTTAGACAAGTTCCTAACAAGGTTTTATAATCACAAAACACATATTAATACAAATACCCTCTAAAAGGTTATTTTCTGGCGAACCGGTCACTTTGGCTTCTAAGTCCGTTCTTGGACTTAGAACTACCTTCCAACCCCTCATTCTACACTTGTAAACATGTAGAACAATTTCAGGGGTCCTCCATATGATATATATGTCATATGATAGATAAAAAGTACAAGAAAAATTATTATAAGGTTATTACCTTAATCCTTCTCACTTTTCCCAACTTTTTCCTTCTTCAATCCTCTTCCTTGGACCAACCTTGCTTGAGCTCATTTTGCACCAATGGAGGATGAACTTATAGCTTCTTTTCTCTCACTTGGAAGTCCTTGGTCGAGTTAATGCGGAGGGAATGGGTAGAGGTACTCTTCTTGTCTCATTTGAGCAATCAGCAAGGTAAATGAGGTCCACCCATGTATCATTTAGATGCTTATCATCTCAAATCATTTCTCTCCCATCCCTTAGCAAATCGTACGGCTCCTTACTCTTATCTCAAGATATTTACGTGGGATGACCCCCACCCATGTGGGAGGTCATCCCAATAAGTCCGGGACTGTATTTCTCGAACTGATTTAATTATATTTTATTTTATCAGACCAAATAAAATATATTTGTTGGGTTAATGGTCCAACAAGGATTTGTCCATAAGCCCCAAGGGCCACGCTACGAACGTCCCCGGGACGTAAGCAGACGTACGTCCATAAGCCAACGGACGTTGTACCTAGGGGCGGCTGGGTTAAGGCGACGTACGTCCCCAACAGGACGTCAAGGCCCAATCATACGTTAAGGCGACGTACGTCCCCAACAAGATGCCAAGCCCCAATGATATGTTAAGGCGACGTACGTCCCCAACAATACGAAGACTCAGAGGACGATAGGAAATAGAGGACGCCCGTTGTTTACGGGACGAACGTCCCCATAGCCCAAGCCAACTTTGAAGCCTTTCCCCTGGGTCATGGCGACGTTCGTCCCCAACAGGTCCAGCCCACATCATCAAGGCCCAAGGGACGTACGTCCCTAGAGCGGCTGGCTACTTTGGCCCAGAGGCAGCCCGAGACGTCCATCCGACAGAGCAGAGCACGGCAAGCAACGGCCCTCGTCCCCGATGTGGGTCCCACGTGCAATTCGCTATTCACGCAAAGGCAGTAACAAAAATTTACAGCCTCGTAAATTCACATACCTTTTCGTAAGGTTCAATACATGATTTACATAAAAGTAAATATATTTGGGGACGGTGTTACACTGAGAGCAAGTATACCCTTTAACTTCAATTCATTTTGTAACAAATATTCCCTTTAACTTTTCATTTTTTGTGTTTAATTGTTCCAAATGAAAGTTGATTGGTATATTCGTGCATGCACTTAGATATAGTTCAAAAGTATATTTGTACCTTCTCCCGAAAAGAATTAGTAGAAAAGTAACAAAAGAAATGACAAAACAAAGACAAAAAGTTGACATAAAAGAAATAGAATAAATAGCTTGGTAATTATGTACTTTGAGGTCTGAGGGTATTATTGTCACTATCAAAGAGGAGATCACAAGTTCAAGACTCATCTCAATTAAGAATGTTGGCATATATAATGTAAAACAAATACTATAGTAGTTAAGAATTAAAATTGCATAAAAAACTTATCAAAAAATTACGAAGTAAGGAAGAATTATACTTTAACAGTCTTTATTAGTATTGGTTTTATTCCATTCATCAACCATCATGTGGTGTGTGTGCAAAAAATATTGACTAATTTTTTTCGAATGGACGTATGTTGTGAGAGATTTAGATCTACAATCTCAATTAAAAATTGCAATCTTAGGTTTAAAGGATAGATAAAGTATGGACTTGAAAATTGAGTAATTAATCGAGAACGGGAATTGAGGTAGAGTGAGTTTTTTTTCATTTTCCTCGGACTACTCAACTTTTAATTTTTTCAATTTGGAAAAAATGAAAATAATTATCCCAATTATTGGCGGTCCGCTAACAATAATCTCAACTATTGATTATTTTTGTATAATCCCAACTATATGGACCTTCCTTCAATAATGGTCCATGACCGCATATTACATGCTCTAACAAGTGAATTTTTAATAGAAATTAAGCGTAAAAATTAAAATTTGGGATTATTTATAGGGATTATCTGCTATATTTCTTTAGAAACTATAGGAATTTATTTATAGCCGGTCACGTCGGATCATTATTGGCGGAAGGTTCCTAAAGTTGGGATTATTCTAAAATAATCGATACTTGAGATTACTATGAGCGGACCGCCAATAGTTGAGATTATTACAATCAATTTTTCCTTTCAATTTTAGTCATCGACTATTGTGTTTGAGACACTTTTAATCATCGTCTTTAAAATTTTCCACATTTAGACTCCTGATTATTTTCAACTTGACACTTTTAGTCCTTCCACTGATTTTGACATCACAACTGGAGGACTAAAAGCGTCATTATTATAATAATTGAAGAACCAAAATTGTCACTTGTATGAATGTCGAAGGTTTAAATATGAAAATTTTTAAGAGACGAGTATCAAAAGTGTCCATAGCGCAATAATCGAGCACTAAAAGTGGAAAAACTCAAATTCAAATATCAAAAGTGTCAATGACATAATAGTCGGAAGACTAAAAGTGGCAAAAACTCATTGAAGTATTTGAGCTGTAACACAAACTTATAAGAATTCTTATTTCCAAATTCACTCCCAAGATTATTCATTGCAATAAATTAATTCAATTTTTACATATTCTCATACACAGGAATGGAAATCTAGTGTCAACAATTTTAGAATTTTTATTAACAAGGAAGTATTAAGCTCATTAGAAATACAGGATTAGTTAAACTAAAAAAGCAATGTTAGTAACAAATATATATCTGATTACTGCTGAGTAACAACAGCCAGGGCGCTATCGAGCTCGGCGTTGTACCGTTTCATCGCCTTCTTCAACGGAAATTTGAGACCGAACTCGTCCAGCGCGTCCGCGCAGTCGCTCTCCACGGCGGCGCTCAGGCGGGTCATCAGCGTACCTTTGTCGTGCGACAGGAGGGCATGGAGGGACAGCTTCAAATCGTCCACCGCATTCTCGAAGCTCTCGCGGCACGTTTTCACCAGCGAATTCCTCGTCGCCGGCGGAAGGCCCTTCACCGTCGGGAGGATGGCGCTGCTCATGCCCTCGATTTTGGTGGCGTATTCGATGGTGGCCTTAATGGCTCTCTCGGATGCGTCCCGGAGGCTTCTAGCCCCGGCAACCATACTGGCGCAGAGCTTCTTGTCGGTAGCGGTGTGGCAGTAATCTCCGTCAGCAGCGGCCAGATCGGCGGCGTGGGAGAGGAGGAGGAGGAGAGCAGCGGCAATTCCGAAGGGCAACTTTTGTGAAGCCATTTCAATTTTGAACGAAGGATCTGCTCTGATTTGGGAGCGGGTCAGGCCGAATTGCCCTTCTGGTTTAGTTTCTTCCTCTGTTCTAAGACAATTATTATGATAATAATTAGTATTTATTACAATTAATTAACACTGCTTAATTATTATCGAGCTAATTGTGGTGTATCTTTGTTTGTTTCTTCTGCATTAGGAATCATGTGGACAGAAATAAAAGTGGGGATTGGAAAGACGAGAGGATGAACGCATAAAAAGGTTTGAAGGAGTAACTGGGGCGACAAGTGTGGGGCTTCACGAATTAAAATCCACCTCAACCATTCTTGACGTACACACCTTATACACACCATGTTTGTGAATTTTTTTTTGTCTGTGAGTCCGGTTCACAGACAATATTTTGTTTGTGCAAAACATTGTCTGTGAATTGATGTTCACAGACAAAAAAAAAAACTTTCACAGACATTGGTGTATACAAAAGTGTGTATAAGAATGTGTACAAACATCATTTTTGAATCTGCCTATACAATAAAGTCAATTAGGCCCTCTAACTAAAAAAAACACCCAGTTAGGTCCGTTAACTATACAAAAATGATCAGCTTTATAATTTAGGGCCTGTTTGGTAACGGTTGCAAAACACACCCAAATGACTAAATCTGCTTAAATGGCTAAATCTGTTGACGTGAAAGTGTTTGGTAATATATAGGCTGAAATGACTGATTAAATGTAAAATTACCATAAAGGGTATTACTATTTGTGTTAAATAAATGAGTGTGAACTTTGATAATCAATTGTTTTTGGAGATATTACCCGAAATAGGACTAAAACAGTTTGAAAATTCCAAAATAGGACTGTCATGTTTTTTATTCCCAAAATAAAACTAATTACTGTCATGTTTTGGCAGTACCAGACTTCAAACATGACAATATTTTCTAAACATGACAATAATTAGTCCTATTTGGAAATAAAAAACATGACAATCCTATTTTTGAATTTTCAAATTGTTTTAATCCTATTTCGGGACTTTCCCTTGTTTTTGCTTGATTAGAACTTTTAAAAATATACTCCGTAAATCTACATTGGCATCACACAAGCACATCATCCATATAATCATGAATGGAGGAAAATGCATTTTGCAAGGCTAATTTAAGCACTTAGCTATGTCTCGGTTTGAATTTGAGACACTTCAAGTTTGGCCTAGAATTAAAGAAGAAGATAGGTCGCAACTTATCTTTGTGAATATGGAACAGCAGAGCAAAAGTCTTCGATTTAGATAAGAAACTACTCCCTTCGTCTTATAAAATTTGGCTAATGTTGACTTGCACGTAGATTAATAAAGTAAAAGTTGTGTGGTTGTTATTTGTGCGGAGGAGAGAGAAATAAGGCAAATTATACCGTGCAACCGGAGCACCATGAGGTTGGTGCGCCCGGTTGCAAAACGACGCAGCTTCCCTGTTTTTTTTGCTTTTGTTGTTTAAAAATGATGATAACTTTCTTATTTTTGATCCGATTTTTATAAAATTTATATCAACATTTTTTATTTTTCATGATCTTTCAAATGAGACTAATATTGCTTATGTAATGTTAAGAAATTATCGAACTATTATATTAATGAGTATTGGATTATAAGGAAAATCGAATCTGTTTGGGAGATGATAGGTTTGTGAAATAGAAAATTGAATCTGTTTGGGAGTGGATCAGTGGCATCAGTTACATTTGATAATACATTGAGTTACATCTTTTTATGAACGAGTTACATCTTTTTATAAGCAAGTTACATCTTTTTATAAGCAAGTTACATCTTTTTATAAGCAAGTTACATCTTTTTAAAAGCGAGTTAAATATATATAAACACGAGTTGCATTTGACATGCCTGAACGCGACTTACATATATTTACACGTAAAGTTACATATTTTTACACGTAAAGTTACATATTTATACACGCGAGTTACATATTTCTACACACGAGTTGCATTTGACCTGTCTGAATGCGAGTTACATATTTTTTTTTACGTAAAGTTACATATTGTTACACGTAGAGATACATATTTATACACACGAGTTGCATTTGGTCTGACTGAACGTGAGTTACATATTTTAACACGTAAAGTTACATATTTTACACGCAAATGTTAATATGTTAAAATTACATAGGCAATATTGGTCTCATTTGAAAGATAATGAAAAATAAAAAATGTTGATATAAATTTTATAAAAATCGGATCAAAAATAAAAAAGTTATTACTATTTTTTAAAAACAAAAGGAAAAAAAAATATAAATCCGTATACCGGTATACGGTGAGCGCACCGTATACCGGTCGTACGATATAGGCACTCGAGAAATAACTTGACTCACATATTTGTTACTTTAAATAGAAATGGCAAAGTTTTTTGGAATGGCCAAAAAAGGAAAGTTGGTCAAGTTTTATGGAACTGAGGTAGTATGAGGCAACCAGCATATGAATAAGTAGGTGACTTCAATCTTGAGCATGGGAAGATATATTCTAGATGTAATGGAACGGCAAAGTGGTCTTTACAATAGTCAACGGGGAAATAATAAATTTCAGCTTAGAGAGTAGCCTTGGGGTTATTTTTTGAACTGATAATAATTTTCAGCTAAATCAACTTGTTTGACAGGTGTTTGCTGATTTTTTTCAATTCTCATGCTTATAAGCCCATTTTGGATCTTCCAAACGGCCTCTTAGTAGGTTTATTTCCGGTCAACCGGTCATCTACCTGCCTGGCAATCCATGTGGGACATTTTAAATGTTTTTTTCTTTTCTTGTCCTTTCCTTTTCTCTTTTTTTTGCCTTTTGTTTTTTCCTTGCTCCTCTCCTACGAGCAGAGTGCCCTCCATTAGTCCGTCCCCTTCTACTTCATTTGAAAATTTACATAGCTACCCGCACGGATAGCTCAGTTGGTCGAGTGGTGGGAAATTTGGAACAATGGACCAAGGTTCGAATCCCCGCAGCGACCGGGTGAAGGTCACAGAACCTGAAATAAGGCTGGGCCTCTGGTGCGCACGGGTGTATGGGCCTACTACCATTCTGCTGACTGAGTCACCGTGACTAACCTCTCCACCATCCTGTCGGGTCGGGGTGGGGGGGCTTTTGGGGTGGGAGATTCCACCTTTTGGAACAATTGAAAATTTCCATAGCTAGTCCTCCCACTTTTATAAAAGTTACAGTTTTGGTCCTTCAACTAGGGATGGCAACGGGGCGGATCGGGGACGGTTTTACATATAACCGTACGCGCCCCGTTTGGTAATTCCCCCGCCCCATAACCGCCCCATTACCCAACGGGTAATTTTTACCCAAATCATAACCGCCCCAACGGGTAACGGGTATAACCACGGGTAACCGCGGGTAATCACTTTATTAATTGTGTCATTGGTATTTTAATATAAAAATAATGTTTTAAAAGGCAAAAAATGACATCACCTAGATGACTCTAGACTTAAACGCCACTTTAAAGTTTCGCATGTCTACAATACGAGAAAGAAGATAACCTAAATGAGTTTGAATCTAAAAATATTTAATCTGAAAAATAATTAATCTCGAAAGAATCTGATAATAATCAAACAAGACTATTAAGATCTATTATGAACTTTCATTCATACACTAGAGTTAGTACATTTGTCATTGATATATACACAATGAAAATAGAAAATTCTCATCTTTTAGTTTGGGACAACTAATAGATGAGAGTGTAATAAAAATATAACTAAAAATAAACGGGGCGGGTACGGGGCGGGTAATGGGGCGGACATGTATAAAACCGTAACCGCCCCGTTACCCGTAAAAACAAAACGGGTATTCCCCGCCCCATACCCGTTACCCGGTCAATGCGGTTTTCCCCGGTTTGACTGGGGCGGTTCAGTGCGGGTATCCACCGGATCGGTCACAATTGTCATCTCTACCTTCAACTATTATAATAATGACATTTTTAGTCCTTAATTTTTTGTGTCAAAATCAAAATGGAAGGACTAAAAGTGTCAATTTGATAATACTCTGGAGCCTAAGTGGAAAACTTTGAAGTTGATGACTGAAAGCGTATCTAGCACAATAGTCAAAGACTAAAACTGGAAAAATTAAAAATCGAGTACTAAAAATGTCAATAACACAATAGTTAGGAGACCAAAAATGGCAAAAACACATCCTCATTTTGAATTAGAAATGTCTGTCCAAAAGATTTGATATTTATAGGACGACTTTAGGTTTTTTTCTCTATTGGGCAAGAACAATATAGCGCATGAATGAGTTCAGTCTTTTAAACCTCTGACCGACTATGAAATACGAGGCCGAGGTGGGGCCGGGTGTGGTGGGTTGAAGAAGAAGAAGGCAGGGGGTGGGGTGGGCTTAAGAAGAAGAAGAAGAAAGAAGGGAACGGGAGGGGCTGGGACGGGCTGAAGAAGAGAAGAAAAGAGAGATGGGCGGGGTGGGTTGGGCTTAAGAAGAAGGAGGGGGGGGGGGGGGGGGGGGGTTGGTTGGTTCCGCAGGATGAAGGGAGAAAAGAAACGAGGGGAAGCAAAAAGAAACAAGAAAAAAGGAAAAGGGAAAAAGAAAAGGAAAGGAGAAAGAAAAACATTAAAATTATGCCACCTGGATTGCCACATAAGTAGATGACTGTTTCACCGGGAATAGACTTACTAAATTCGAATTTTGATCGTTTTTGTATAGTTCGCGGATCTAATTGAGTGTTTCTTTAGTTGGATGGCCTAATTAACTTTTATGGTATACTTCTAGGGCCAATTTGATAGTTTTTCTAACAAATAATGATGTTGTAGTGAACAACTATTGTAGACAAAATTACCCAAATGTGAGTAAAAGTAGGGGAGATTGCTCATTTAAGAGATTAGAGGGTTGATTGAGGCAAAGTTTAGTAGGACCAAATTCAGCACGGTATGACAAAAATAACCCTACTTTAGTTACACATTTGGGACGGCGGTTCATAATAAACGGGGTGGCCTCTGTCGAAAATTTTGGCAACTGCAAATGGAAGGAAGATAGGAATTAATGCAGAAAAAGGAGAAGAGTGTTGTTTATGGAATGTAATAAGCAAGGAAATATGGAAAAAACATGCATGCAGATCGATTGATTTGGGAGAAAAACCAAAAGCGGAGAGACAAACCGGAAGTGAAGTATAGCGACAAAGGAGGAAGGAGGAGCCAGAAGAAATGGTTGGTGATGATTTCTAGATCGAAAGACCTGGTTGGGTGACTGTTTGAGCGATAACGAACTGGTATATAGATATATCTTTTCGATTTTTCTGTTGGACATGGATTTTTGTATTAAATGAGTAACTTGGAATGAACGGTGAAATGAAAGAGTAACTTGGGATGAATGTAGTATTAACGGTAAGGGGAAAAGTACGAAAAAGTACGATCAAGTGTTTCAATTCATAAAAAAGTACGTCATGTGTTTCATTTTCGTTATCACAAGAGGGGCCTAATCTTAATGTTGTTTGAAATCGCCAGCGGAAGATGATGAATAGTAACATCGATTTTCAAAAGTGCTCAGAAAATTCAAAGAAAAATACTAGGAGATGCACCTCATCAAGGTGACCTTCAGGACCTTTTTTTGTTTCAACTTTCAAGTCACCCTGGTCACCAGAAAGTCTATTGGAAAAGTGATATTAGCGAACTCGTTTTTTAAAAATAATCTAAAGAGATCCGAAATCCAAAGAGGGAGATGGTTTGGAGGTCTAGCTCTTGACGAGACACACCTCCCAATATTTTAATTTTAATTTTTCGGGCATTTGTTAAAATCAGAGTTACTGTTTATCGTCTTCCTCCGACGATTTCAAACAATGTTAGTGTCAGGACCCTAATGTGATAACGGAATTGAAATATTTGACCTACTTTGCAAAGAAATGAAACGCATGACCTTATTTTAAAACAGACTGAACTACATGTATCTTTTCCGCACTTTTCCCTAGCGACAATGTTTTAAGAGGTTACACTATATGACATAAAAATGATAGTCTAGATTTATTATGGGGAAGAAGTACCTTATTCAGGACCAAATAGAGGAATTGATAGACGTTAAGAAAACATTAATGAATGGGAGAAAATTGATTGTTAGAGATGATATTCTGGCCTTTGATAAAGTATTAGCAGTATTGATGTAATGTACGTAGTATTGTTTAGCTTGGTTGAAATGCCAAGGTATAGGATTACAGGTATTATTGGGGGCACCAGGTAAAGGTATATCGTACACTTGGGAATACATAGTGGGGAAGTACAATATCTTAGTGAGGAAGATGGTTTGGAGGTTTAGCTTCTTTGGAGGTCTAGCTTCTTAAAATGGGCAATGTGAAGTTAAAGGTGTTGGAATAAATCCATGAATATTTTAATCTTCATATTGGAATTATCTAGAGAAATAACTGAGCGGAAGCATACCTGACGTCATTGGAGATGATCTTTAGAGATCCGGGAGACGGAGGCTATGGTTTGCGTCTTCTAATTGATACACACTCTCGGGAATTATCTCTCTAGCGATGGAATGCAGAAAGACAAAATAACGTCTTCAACTATGGACCATAACCCATTTATTTATAGAGAATACCTAACCCTAATAAGTCCATCATTAATTAGGTTAAGTTCATGAGTCTCTACACATTTGGGCCATATACTTTATTAGATAACATATTAGCCCACATAATTAATATCCATAGGACCACTAATTTTTTAGGCCTAAACATAAGATAGCATATAACATACAATTAAACCCAATAAATAATATATTGTGAATATTACATGTAGTATGAGTCCAATAATCTAACAATCTCCCACTTGAACGACATACACATGTACACACAATCTTTAGTATTGTATGTTTCCTTTAGAAGTTCTAAAAATTTTGTTATCAAACTGTACTCATTTTTTCTGGTCCATTATTAACTCAACTTGATTGTTTATTTCTTACTCAATGGCCAAAAAGGGTAGACTCAACTTGTGATTTTGGTCACAACTAATGACAGGATTCACTTCTTACTCAAGGAACATTTCGACCTTCGTGTGAAGTGAAGTCCCCGGTATACCATTTGTCCAAATAAGATTTA